AAAACTCCATCAAGACCTCAGCCATTTCATTGCCACGCTCCCCACAGCCAACATACACGACAATATCACTGTTCGAGAATTTGGAAATGCTTTGGCTGATGACGGTCTTGCCACTTCCGAACGCACCGGGGATACATACTGTACCGCCCTGGGCACATGGGAAGAGAGCATCTAGGGTCCTCTGTCCAGTGAGTAACGGGGCATCGCAGCGCAATCTCTCAGCAACTGGCCGAGAAACACGCACCGGCCAAACGTGCATCATACTATACTCCGTGGTTTTCCCGTCAAACTTAACAGCCAAAAGCTTCTCTGTGACTGTGTAGCTACCTGCCTCTGCTATTCGAGTAATCTGTCCCCCCGCACGTGGCGGAAGCATGATTTTGTGGTCACCAAGTAAATTATTCTCGATGACACTTCCCCAGATATCGCCGCCTGTGATGTGATCTCCCACTCTGAACGTTCCCGGCTTGAAGTCCCAGGATTTTTCACGGTTGAGCGACGGGACATCAATGCCACATGGGATGTAGATGGTTTTTGCCTGGGACGATATAGCTTCCAACGGTCTTTGGATCCCATCGTAGATTGTGCCCATCAATCCAGGACCAAGTTCGACAGCCAGTGGCTGTCCTGTACCAGTGACAGGATCGCCGACTGCTATACCACCTGCGATTTTTAGCCGTATCAGCGGGTGTAGCTGAGCAAAACTTTGCAAACACGTACTTGTTTCCTCGAAGGATTGTATGGTAATCCTGTCTCTCTCTATTCTGATGACCTCACCCACTAACTGGCCGTACCCTACTCGGCACTATGGAAAAGGCAGTCAGGATAATTATGCTCAAGCTGACCCCGTTATACTCACAAGTTCGTACATACAGCAGCCTCTCATGTTCTCCGCAATGATGACAGGTCCCGAAACAGAGAACACTGAGCCGTGCCGTCCATTTTCAAGTTCTGGATAATCCACTTCGGATGCCATCGGAGATTCTTTCATAGATATTGTTATTTATTATCCAAATACCGTTGGAGATAAGTTGGAATGACCATTACGTCACCCTTACGACGGGCCAGGCGTATTCAATGGTTGGAGCGGTTGTGTGCCCATTAAGGAACCTCTGGACGCCCCAGTCAAGAACAATGTAATTAACTATGGCAGTTGGTCATATGACTCTGCTAGTCTTATACGTCACTACCCGCATACTAGTTCACGATATGTGTGTACAGTCATTATCGCAGACAATTCCACCATAGCTTACCCCACTGCTAATAAAGCCTGGATTCCAGTCAAAGTCTGTCGGAACATAGACGGGTAAGTTGACTTTCTGAGAAGTTAATTCTCATAGTCAGGCATAGTCACGTCATAATTTGGGGATCCGTTAACTTCGTCTTTTCTCCGACTTCTGCGAGATCTCATCATTAACATTGTGGAATTTAGCTCGATATGCCCAAACCCACCTCGCGGCTATTTTATCGCACCGTCGATGTTGCTTCTTTCCTTAAGATCGGCAGGTTATTCTATGGCTCAAAACCAGATTGGGCGACATTTCGCAAGCAATTTCGTTCATATGCCATTAACGCCAAGGTTGGGTCCAATGAAGTCTCTTCAACGCTGGAACGCCGAATACACGGCATTGAGGAGGATACTAAGTTAACAGAGACAGGCCGAGTTTTGTCTGTTGGTGACGGAATCGTTCGCGCCCGTGGCTTGACTAATATCCAAGCTGAAGAGCTGGTCGAATTTCCGTCCGGTGTGAAGGGTATGTGCATGAACCTGGAAGCTGCTCGTGTCGGTATCGTGCTCTTCGGTTCGGATCGCCTTGTCAAACAGGAAGATACTGTCAAGCGGACTGGCGAGATTGTTGATATTCCCGTTGGCCTTGAGATGCTGGGGCGAGTGGTTGACGCCCTCGGAAGTCCAATCGATGGCAAAGGGCCCATCAAAACTACCGAGAAGCGGCGGGCTCAGCTCAAGGCCCCTAGTATTCTACCTCGCCAGTCCGTCAACCAACCTGTTCAGACTGGTATAAAAGCGATTGATGCTATGGTGCCAATTGGCCGCGGTCAGCGGGAGCTGGTCATTGGGGACCGTCAAACTGGGAAGACGGCCATCACTCTGGACACTATCCTAAATCAGAGAAGATGGAATAGCTCCTCCGCTGAATCTGACAGGCTGTACTGTATTTACGTCGCTATCGGCCAGAAACGCTCCACCGTGGCCCAGATTGTCAAGACTCTTGAAGAAAATGATGCCATGAAATACTCGATCATTGTCGCAGCTACGGCCTCGGAAGCTGCTCCTCTACAATACCTTGCTCCCTTTGCTGGCTGTGCTTTGGGGGAGTGGTTTCGAGACAGCGGCAGACATGCTATTATCGTGTATGATGATCTGTCAAAGCATGCAGTGGCCTACCGTCAGATGTCGCTGTTGCTTCGCCGGCCCCCTGGACGTGAGGCTTACCCTGGAGATGTTTTCTACCTCTATTCACGTCTTTTGGAGCGTGCAGCAAAATTGAACGACAAGCATGGCGGCGGCTCTCTTACCGCTCTTCCTATCGTTGAGACTCAGGGCGGTGATGTTTCTGCGTACATCCCTACCAACGTGATCTCTATCACAGACGGGCAGATATTTTTGGAATCCGAACTCTTCTATAAGGGCATCCGTCCTGCGGTCAATGTTGGACTTTCCGTGTCTCGTGTTGGCTCTGCCGCGCAACTCAAATCAATGAAACAAGTTGCCAGTTCCCTCAAGCTGTTTTTGGCCCAATATCGCGAAGTTGCGGCCTTTTCTCAGCTGGGTTCGGATCTGGATGCCGCCACGAAGCAAACTCTTCGACGTGGCGAGCGTCTGATGGAGCTTTTAAAACAAAAGCAGTACGCTCCTATGGCTGTCAATGAGATGGTACCCTTGATCTATGCTGGTATTAATGGTCTTCTTGATGATATACCTGTTAACAGGATTATGGACTGGGAAGCTGAGTTTCTCGCCCACTGCAGACACAACAAGCCGGAGCTGCTCTCCAGGATCGAAGATGAAGGCAAATTAAGCAATAACCTAGAAGCTCAAATTATGGAGGTCATTGTCGCCTTCAATAAAGTTTTCTCATAGACCGTGAGTTATTCCTAGAGCACTACTCGCCGTTGAATCTCTTTCGTTTGATGCTTTGTTCCTGGAAGGTTTCTATTCGCGATCTTTGCACGTTTATTCAGATAGCCAGGAATAGGCCTGGATCGACTTGATTAAATGTATTCCGCCACTTTAGCACTCGAAATTTCTCTGTATTTCTAGGGGAAAAGATGAAACTTTTATATCAAATCCTTTACGGTATCCTGGTATACATATCAAATAACCTTTAATGCCGCTAATTTAGTTTTCAAAATTCGTAGTCTACTTCACCCTTACGAAAGGCTTTTGAAACTGATACCCCATACTTAGATGACATGAACCTTTATTTTAGTAGCTAGTATCCTAGCTCTCTGAACTTGTCGGTTGTTTTCTCAACCGCAAGAGCTGTTTCTCCGGGCGTTTTGTTTTCATAGTAGTAAGCTAGGATGATCAACTTGTCTGTTTTAGCACAAACAACCCCTGTCGTGTTCTAGACATGTATAATTAGTATAATGTCGGATAAATGAAGATCCAAAGTCTGATTTTACCATTCTCCCAGATATAAACTTGTCATCGGCTTGGATGCACATGTAGTTTTTGCCACCCACAACAATGCCTTGTTCGAAAGCAGAGCTAGGGTTCCTGAAGAGATCTATAAGATCATGGAGTTCGCATTGGTAGACCTATCTGTCTCATTAACTCCTGTGCACACAAAGTTCGACATGCTCAGTTAGATCAAAGTACCATATAGCCAGGCGAAATCGCCCAATCACCCCGATTCTCGGCATCAAGAAGAGCAGCGTCTGCTCACCGTCCCTCTTTCCTCACAATGTTAGAAAACAACCTCCGAATCCTATAGTTGAATATCATGAAATCGAGGGCGGGTATAGAGGCCCTTATCAACGATCACCAAAGCAAAAACCTAGACATTCTTCTTGTCTAAGAACCACTAATTACCGTATATCGAATATATATAAACCACAGCGCATAGCGACTATACAAACCAACAGTGGAGGACGACTTAGCTCGATTCCGAAGCCTCATCTATATCAACCGTAGGCTTTTAATAACTTCTCACTGATAAGTGAAATACGACTACCTAGACCTAATAGCAATCAGGATCTTCAATTGCATATTTAATACCAGACCTGATATTAGACCGTCGAACTGCGCTAACAGTCGATCTAGTTCCCTTTTCAATGCTTTGGAAACTGTCAATCAGCAACTCCATGTTACGGAATTGACTGTTGAAGATCAGAGCCAGCGAGTTGAGAGCAGCGATGGCAGCAGTCATGCGTGGAAGCAGGCTATTGATCTGGCTACTCATGGACATTACATATTTCCGGCAGTTGTAGACTTTAGACTTGTCGCTTTTTGCATCGGCCAGTTTGTCCACCACTTTCTGATGGGCGTTGACAACCAGGGTACTCAAATAACCCCCTGGTAAGGAGAACTGCTTAACCCACCATTTCCACTCGCCGGGGTCGTTGTATTTGTCCTGTGGGACGAGATAAGTAGCTGAAAAGATCAAAAAGTTATACATTCTCTTTCTCCAACTTCTCTTTGTCTTTGAGGGCTTTCTGCTCTGCCTTTTCCAGGTCAGCCAGGTCGGCATCAAGATATGCGATGGGCTTGTATTTTTTGTCCTTGACAGTGACAGCCTTAGAATAATGCGTGGGTCACCGCAGCAGTGATACACTACACTACCGACCGCAGTTGGCTTATATTCGGTGGCCAACCTGCAGACGGTGGAAGTCTGAGCTAGCAGCGGGCCGCAGCGAGACCTATTCTCCCGTTGGCTATTTAATAGTTGCTATTTCTCCACCTATTCCACCTTTTAAACAAGCAGCCTTCCTGCGCAATTTTTGACAACCTTTGTTCTACGATCACATTAGCCACAATGCCTTACTGTCTGGTAAGTAGCTGTGTACCTTATAACCGTGTCATTTCAGCTCCTTTCATCTGTTCGATTTACCAACACGTTGAATGCTACGAAGGCGTTCCGCCTGAAAACGTCAATCAGTACGCCTTCTAATCCAGCAGACTTTAAAATTACGAACTAACTACCTTTTTTTGCAGGATCAAAGAATTCGTTAGAGGCAACAGAGGCGAGATTCTGTAAGTTTACTTTGGTATTTACAGTGCTGAAATTTCCGAAGACCTGGCTCGTTTGAAATCTCACGAGGTTGTAGAAGACGTTGAGCTTGATGTGCTCGCGACGAAACAATTATCTTCAACTGAAGAAGCACCGGCCCATCCTGTGCTAGACGATGTCGTGTCACTAGAGAAGAGGTGCCTCATTCGACATCTAGGCCTCGAAACCACACCAAGTCGACAACCATTAGGTGCGGCTAATACATGCCGTTATTGTTTTCCATCATCGTCTGCCCCGAATTCTACCCGTGGTGCGAAATGCCGACTTTCCGGGTTATGATCGAATGATCTAACCGTGGTGACCTACGCCTCGCCATGTATCCGGGAATGGACCAGGGGTCCTAGGGAAGACATAATGCATGTATGCAACCCATTTTCCTCAACTAAGTTCACTGTACTTCTGACACCGCTTTCCTTCAGCATTATACCATATAGTCTGCTTCGAGAAAATCGCTGATTTCTCCCAAGTAGAATTCCTTGCCCGCCTTCAACCTTTAACAAGGAAAGGAACACTTTCAAGTTCCGAGGCGTGAACGCTGGAGGAATTCTGGGCGGTAACTATTTCGTCAATGTCCATTTCCATTTTCCTGACAAATTTCAATGCGATAATTTGATTTCAACCTTCTTAAGAGACAGGATTATCCTGTCCCTCCTTATTTGGAGGTTCTGCATCTTCAATATTGGTTTGCTGGAGGAGAGGACTCTCTTCGGGACTCGCACTCTTCCTATGCAAATCTTCGATGGCATCCTTTTTAACGTTACTAGCGGATGGGATAGGGGCATAAGGATGCGAAATGCTGTCTCGATGTGGATGCGCTTTTCCTGTTTGAATAGCGCCGTTGTCGGTCACGCGATCAGCGGCGGAAAGAGCGTAATCGCCAGAGTCAAAGTAGGTCCGTTCCTTCCGGTAGTTAGTTAGCACGTGTCGTAATAGACTATATTCAAAGTACCTTGGATATTTGACCGAGTAAGCCTCCACGCGGCAGCTTTCCGTACTTACTGAAGTGACGTTTCTCACTTTCAGACATCAGCTTAGGAAAGAGTGTCAGTACCTTTGCTTCCAGGCAGGGTAGGGAAAGTTGTTACCTCTGGATGTGGTCCGTTGCCTGCTGACTGCATTCTGTGAGATTATCCTTGTGTTTTCCGAGGATTTTTCCTAGCATGCATTGAGAAGTGCATTTGAGCAGGAATACTCTTTGATTCCCGAACCAGCTTTCTATGACGTTTTTGGTGTCATGTGATCCATTTGTGTTAGTCATCTCAGGCGGGCATGGGAACAACGTAAAATCCGTTTAGGTTACGATACAGGAACATCAATATTCCGGAACCATTCTTGATACAGATTAGTACGTGGTGACACCACCTTCAAGAAATACCGTACTTGCAGGCAGCGAGCCCAGGTTGACGATAAGCGTGTGGCGGCGCACAGGAAACGGTGGTTCATTTCTTGGTGGACTGTCCAAGACTAAGAGAACAGTGATAAGAGGTGCGGCGGAAGGTGGGAGACGCGTTAATTAGCATTACTAGGAGGATCTGAAAGAGATGGCAAGGGTGTCAGTGGGGAACTGGTTCGCGGTGGGGATCTGCTGCCTGAGTCAAGAAGCTAAACCCAAAAGGGAAGAGAGGATGTTATCGCTTTGTTTGCATTCGGTGGGGCACGTGTGGCTCACGTCATCACTCTCTTGAATCTATCCCGAAGGTAAATCCGAGAGTGTAGAATAAGCGATAAAAATCCACCCCAAGAGAAAGATCAGAGCCCGGAAACAGAATCTGTGGATATTTATTCGATTGAAAATCTGGTCTAAGATGAATCGTCAACAGAAAGCTGTCCTAGCCCAAGACCGTCGGACACCTAGCAAGGTCAACGCTTGGATACTAGGGAGCAGTATTGCGTCATTGGCATCGGCTGTTCATTTGATTTTGGATGCCAATGTGCCTGCATCTCAGATCCATATCCTAGAGTCTCAAGACACCCCTGGAGATGGAATTACCAGTACTGGCGATTCGCTAATCGGATACGATCATCGACCTGGATGCCTGCCAAGCTTCAATGACGTTTGCATGAAAAAGCTGCTTGCTTTGGTGCCTTCCACAAGCGTTTCTGGAAGGACAGTCTTGAAGGACATCGAAAAGTATTATGAGGATAAAGTTTCCCAAAATGTTCGTGTTACACACGTCTTGGCCCAAGGAGATCAAGGACCAAGGAGAACGGACGCTAGGGACCTCGGCCTAACCCTAATAGACCGAATGAAGTTGACGATGCTCCTATTGAGATCCGAGGAAAGCCTTTCCAGAAAACGAATCAATCAGATTTTCAACAAACCTTTTTTTGACAGCACATTTTGGATTGCTTTTTCTACTTTGTGGGCAGCTCGATCCATAAAAATTGGGTCATTCCACAATGCTAAGATGGAATAACAGATTTACCTTCCAGCCGTGGCACAGTGCAGCCGAATTCCGGCGATGCCTTAGAAGATACTTCTACGAATTTCAGAACTTGAACACTAAGAAACCCCTAGATTGCACTCAGTTCAATCAATTTGAATCAATTATCATGCCGATCATCCAGTTTCTTCAAAGGCAAGGAGTTGATTTCAGACTATGCACCAAGGTTACAGACATTGCGACACTTTCAGACTGTGGTACAGAAACAGTTTCAGCTATTCATGTATTGCGCGATAGCTCCCGGGAAACAATCACTGTCTGTGCCGATGACATAGTTATCGTCTCCCTCGGATCTGACACGTCAGGCTCGTCGAGCGGTACCAACAAAAGCCCGCCGTTTTCAAAGACGATGATAGCTGAAAACGAGTTGGATGAAAATTGGTCGCTGTGGCTAAATCTACGAACGCAGCATCCGACACTTGGAGATCCATATAATTTCTGCACTAGAGTCACCGAGTCTATGTTGGAGACTTTCACGGTGACGCTCAAGGATGCTGATTTCTTTAACCGTTTCGTCAAATTGACATGTGACGAGCCTGGCATAGGGAGCTTGGTATACTTAAAAGACAGCAGTTGGAAGATCAGCATGTGTATCCCACGTCAACCATTTTTTCCCCTTCAACCCGGCAATATACAGACCTTCTGGGGTTATGGCCTTTGTCCAGAACGTGAGGGTAGCTTTGTGAAAAAGCCGATGCTCAATTGTTCCGGGGAGGAAATAATGACTGAACTGTTGTGGCACCTCGGCTTCCTCTCACCATCGATCCTGAAAAACTCCATCACAATCCCATCTGTGATGCCACGGATGACAGCATCATTATTGCCTCGAGCTTACGGAGATCGTCCAAAAGTGATACCAGAAGGGATGACCAATCTTGCTGTGATCGGCCAATTTGTGGAAATACCAGATGAGACGACTGTGAGTATGGAGTATAGTGTGCGAGGAGCCCAGTTAGCAGTGAGCCAGTTGATGGGCCTTGGCGAGGAACCAGAGAACACAAGAAAGAGACTTTTCCGTTCTTTTCTGGATTTATGGGTTTGATGGAGATTACAAATGACACCTAATCTCGCTTCCAAGTACCCGAAGATCGTAAAGTAATGGGTCCTTTCAGGATCACCAAAGCTGTCCATGTGTTTCACCTCTTTCCAAACTACCACAGGCAGATCTGCATCTCCCCATAGAACCCTTCGTGGGATGGACCATGGTTTCCCCTCCCTCCAGGCTATCCAGATCCAGGGCATCCTGAGACGGGCCACAGTTTTCCCTCTGTTCAAGCCATCCCAGGCAACCTTGCTACTCCAGATACAATGTGTCCTGAGACGGGCCACGGTTTCCCCTCCTTCCAAGCTATCACAGGCAGCTCTGCTTCTCTCGAGAGAACCCTTCGTAGGCCGGACCGTGGTTTTCGTTGTAAGTCTACAACAAATCAATACATTGAACATCGCCGCAAAGTTCCAGCTCTTTTGGTCAATCGCTCAGATCGTCTGAGTTCAGAAGACATGTCTTCGTCATGCGGCAATTTGCGTTTCGTCGATCCCCCTCACAGGAGCCACCTCCTGAGAAACAGCGTCACTAATCATCGAAGCATTATCCCGGTTTTCCTCGGTTCCGAAATGATGTGAACATCATCATCCAAGGCTGCCAACACCCTTGCCAAAACCTTACGCCCCTGGGGCAGATTTAAAGCCCCTGTACAGCCGCGATGGTCCAGAAGCGAAGTGTGAAACCATCTGGAGGCGCCGAGGTTTGACAATCGACTGATCGATCGACGTGTAAAGTTGCGGATCAAGGTCATCTCAACTGTACTGAGGAAAACCGAGCCGAAACGAGGCCGGGCGGAGGAAGGCAGCGCAGACCGCACTCGAGTACTCGGGAGAAACCGTAAAGGATCAGCTATCTTGCTTTGGAGGCAAAATACAGTGGGAGAACGGTGAACTAGATCAGTAGCAAAGGTGTCTCACCGGCAAAGAGCGCATAAGGGAAGGGTGGTGAGAAAGGCGGAGCGGGAGAGAGAAGGAATATAAGTTGAAGCGGTGAGTAAAGGATGCACGCTAAATTGCATCATGTGCACGACTTCTGTCTCTTGTCTCTCTTGTACCTCCTCACAGTTTCTTGAAAGCGTGACGTACTCGAAGGAGGTCCGATCAGGGGCCGGCCTAAGCGGAAGGCCTCTGAATCTGCATCATCAGCTGGCCCCAAAAATCAGTCGCAGTGTGCAAAACAGACCGAAGTTGTTGTCAAACCAGAAGCCGTCGCATACGACCAAGGAGTATCTTGAGAATTCCCAAAAGCCAGAGGCTTGCTTTCAATGCTTTGCAAATAAGGGGCTCCCTGACCATGTTCGCTTCCAGATGTATCATGACGCTGGGTGTGTTACACGCCATTTTAACGTGTTACTGTACTTGCTTTTTGAATAAGACAGTGTTAGGACTTAGTGCATGCCAAATTGTTTTCAATTCTTAACACTCCGAGACTTTTGAGGCTATGTCCTCCAAATTTGGTCCTGAAGCGTAGTTTCTTGGTCCTGAAGTGTCCCTTTTAGTCCTGAGGTGTCCCTTTTTAGTCCTGGAGTATTGTTTCTTGGTCCCCGACAAATCACACCTCAGGACCAAAAAGGGACCAAGAATAGACACCTCAGGACGAAAAGCAATATATATTAACACACTTTTTGTTTATTCAAACCAATAAAGAGAGTATTACGATCATACGACTGTCCAATCACCTGCCGTCGCTGATTCCGTAACCGTCGGTTCTCAGGCATATAAGAGGCCTCCATTCCCAGTGGGAGCATGCTCAAACATTCTCTTCTCCTCTTCCCAGGCTACCTTGTATCAACTTTTCTACCCTTAGCATGGCGACTAGGATCATGATGTCAAGTCATTCCAAAACGATCATTATAGGCGATGAACAGAAATTGACAAATCCGAAGAACAACAATTTCCCCACTAGCAATGCTCTGTCCCGAAGGTCAAGAATATTTGGAGTCCGCGGTTCGGGACAACCACATTCATAGCCTTGGCCCTGGCCCTTCCAGTAGTCTTGTACCCTGTGTCCTTCGCGGATCTTCACCTATAATTTCACCCCTCCACTGAATCTCATGATGCATACATTGCTCAAATCTGTTGCTTGCGTTTCGCCGGCCGATCATCGTCGCGGTCGGCTTGGAGTGCCCACGTGATCAAATCCACCGTCTCCTCACTTACAGCCTATGTTCACAGATGCCAGTGCATGTAACGAACTCGCACAGAGCGTAACTCTTGACTACGAAAAGGTAGGCGTTCCAGCGCCTGTGACTTTCGTCTTTTGATTTGATTTGATCTCGAATGTGGAAAATTTTCCTGGCCAGTCCCAAAGGATATCTCGCTGCAGGCGTGGAGGACTGATATTTCTATCTCGTTATATCAACATTGGATTTGCCATTCTTTTAGACATGAGGCCTACAGGGGATTAAAAAAGTAGCCCATGCCGCCGCTCGGGTCATTATTATTCCCATGACCATTGCCATAGTAATGAGGATCAGATGGATCACCGCTTTGTAAGAATTCAGAAGGTCGGGGCCTGAGGGCCGCGATGGCGCGGCGCACTTCCTCTCGGTCTGCACCGTTGCGGATCGTTTCGATGAGTCGTCATACCGTGTGTATATTATCGTCTCGAAGGATATCCAGCAGGCTGTCCAGATATGCTCGTTCACTTTCCAGATTCTCTTGCGCTTGCCGTGCGTTAGCCTTGCGTCGTTTGTCGGCTAATTCGTCAAATGTACATTTTCTGTTATGTGCTTGGCATTCCATGCATGGCGCTCCCGTGCACTATATAGTCAACAAAAGATGCACATCTATGCATTATGGGAGCGGTAGTGGGATTTTTCCCCAGGGGAAGGAGCAGAAGGAGAATATAGGAAGAGGGAGTCCGCGGCAATGCGTGGTGGGATGAATAGAAGGAAGGAGTGAATAAGGGAAGAAATAAAGGAATTACCCGTATTCGACGCCTCTGACACTCTTTACAGGCTATCGAGGCCCGTCATATTCGGCCGTTATCTGGGGGCCGACCTCCGTTATTACCACCACTATCGGGTCGTAGCTGGCCTCCGGCCCCGCTACTTAAAGGTGTAGACTGGGGCAGAAGCTTCCTATATGTCCGGCCTATGTCGCCCATCGCACCGGAGACGCCGTAGGAGCAGGGTTAAAAGATATTGATGAGGATTCAGACTCGGACTGTAATTCGAATGCTGAAGCAGACGTTGATGTAATGGAGAAAGAAACAGAAGAAGAAGAAAAAATCACAAGAGAAAAGCGCCGATAGGAATACGAATCAGGGTGAGCCACCATTCAAGAACATACTCTATCCTGCGCGAATCGTATAAACAAGAATCCGTCCGAGTGCAAAATCCCAGGAGCTGACTCGTCTCTACACTAGCCCCTCTCCACAAGCAGTAATTGCTAGAGTGAAAAGGGTTGCTTTTATAGGGCACTAGCCTTGGTGAGGGAAATGTTCGCCACTAAGCCCAAGTCGTCGAGAAGGCTGAATAAGCAATCAATGATGTGCGAACTAACTAACTAATTAACCTGCGGATGGAGTGCTAGGCACCAACCGTACCCTTAAACCTTTCCCGAGTGCACGTGATAAGGCACACGCGGGGCAATCGAAAAACCCCTCTTCTCCAAACAGACTATCGGGCATTTCAGATTCGGCCACCGCTCCATACCTCATGACTCAAAACGTGTTGCTCCTTCTGCAAAATCGTTAAGGACCCGACGAACTATCCGGTACAAATATAGTATCTTCAGGTGAGCATTTTAGGTTAATGCCCACTAAAAATTCACATTGGTTTGCTCGCTCTCACAGGTGTTCCTGACCTAGCAATACAAGCATCATCTCGCATTAGCGCAGAATACCCATCTTTCAAACCCATTCGAGTCTTTCTGTATGTTATGACGTAGAGTCTCTTAGAAATACAGGCTTATACGATATAGGAAATCGTCTCCCTCCACCTATTTCCATGAGCGGGCCCGAAAGCTGCGGAGTTCTTCAACAAGACCTTGAACCTCTTGAACGAACGGTTGTGGAGGAGTTGAAGAGCTGGCTGGTGGCCAATTCAAACGCAGAATGGAAACACTCCCCACGGTTCAGCTTGGTAGAGCAATGTTCGGAAACAAAACTACAACAGATTATACAGCCGCTCGCGCAGGTCTGTCTCTACTTCCTTTCCTGAGCAAGAATCAGGGCTGATAATTGCAGAATTTTACCGTCGCTGCTTTTCGGACATCACACTCGGGATGGGAAGTTAAGGAGGGGGAACTCATCCCAATTTTTGCTAGTCAGGGTTGTAACATTAGATATGGGGATCAAAATTATCCCCTTATAAACGGAACAAAGATGTGCATCTCAAAGAACGCCCGCGTGGAGATCTCCGAGGGAAATATCTTGTATCTAGTATGGAAAGTCAAGAAGATCAATCGGTGAGAGCGCTTCCATCGACGCTGTTATATTTAATTCGGGAGACGGGAAATCTCTTGTTCAAAAGAATGAAGTTGGGAAAACATGGATGATTGTGGGTCAACAACAAATTCGAGGTCGGCCATGTCAAGCAACGGGACGACGAAATCGAGTGCGGTAATGTCAAGGAGTGTTTCTTGAGTTTGTGCAGGTAGAGGGTCGAAGTCCGCGGTCGCAGCTCTGGTCGCCCTTTCTTGGAACTGTTCGGCGGTGGATGTAGAACATGCCGCTGAAACTAGTGTGTCGAATCGAGACCGTTCTTCTTCCATTCTAGACCGGCCAGGCGCGATTCCAGTCCCTCGCTGTGCTTGCTGCGTAATTCCCGGTAGAACAAATGAGCCTTCACCGGGGGATCCGATCTGTGAGACCTGCCACGTAGCGTTGGAAGCAAGTCCCGGACTGGCCTGGAAACACCCCTCGCGTTCGCGCTCCAGAGAGAGCCGAGACTCGAGTATAGGCACTCCTACTGGTCGGACATCTTGCTCGTGAGAAGTAGCTGCGGTGTATGAGGGGCTTAGGTTTTCAGTTCTTCCTCTTTTTTTCCTAGCTGTTTTATGTCCCGGTTCATTTGTTTTCCTTTTCTCTGACGAGCTTTGGGGCATTCCATTGACCCAAACAAATTTTTCGTGGAAATCTAGCAAGACTTTGGCCATTTGGGAGGCTTTGGCCTGTCTGGATTTCTCCATGACATCCATTTCTCGAAGATGTCTTATAACCGTGTCAAAGTCCTCTCCAAGAAGACCTTTCTCATCCCAACTAAAACCTGTTAGTAACAGTAGATTGTGCCATTGGACTGATGCTTACATAGTGTCTGGAATAGAGGAGAAGAAAAGTGGTCCATAGGCTTCATTATCGCCTTCGCTGTCATCGGTTGTTTGACCACTTTTAAGTTCCTGGCAGAAGTGCGCGTGTCTTCGTCCACGTTTGATGATATCCCCATATTTGCGGATATCTTCATGCCCGCTTTCTGAGCTACATATGCCCACGTGAATCAGAAATCGTTTCAGGCTTTCTGGCATGATTCGAGTGTCTGATGCGGGAATTGCTCTTCGGAAAAGCTTGTAAGAGGCGACAGACACAAATCTTTGAAGTATGAGCTGCTCCTGGATGTTGGTGTCCAGCTGAACCGCACCCTCGAGGAAAATCTTCGCTCTGTTTTCGGCCCCATGTTTAGCATATTGTGGCAGTGCTTTGCTAAGTCTTTCCCAGAACTCCAACGGATCCGTTTCGAACCCTTGGAAACGCTCAGCCAGGCTTTTAAGTACTTCGAGACGACTAATACCCAGAACTCTGGTGCGATTTGCACGAGAAGGTGTTGTGCTGGTACTGAATAGGTCACGGAGTGGGACATAAAGCCGTCGAAGGAACTCCCGCTTCTCGTCGTTCTCCAGGACGCCAAAGGGGTGATTCTGTGGGAGAGTCCTTAAGAATTCAATGGCCTCCCCATTTGTGAGTCGCTCCAACCGGCTCTCTTTGTGGATAGATGAGATTTGGCTCTTTTCCTGCTGGTGACGCATCGTAGTTAAGGATGTAGGGAAAGGACGAAGTGGTATCTTCGGAAGGCTCCCTTGACGCAGGCGATCGTTGGGTTGGTCACGTATGGCGCTAGCCAGAAATGACTTTCAAGGGTTCGCGCAAACCCTTCGGAACCCAATCAGGAAAAGCGTGCCTGTAGAAGGCAACTTGGTTGTGGTTCATCCCATGCGGCAAGTGAGTGCTACTGCTCGACCCCGTCCAGTCCGACCGTAAGTGGGTGCTCTAAGTGCATATACACGAACATTACCGCCAAAGATTTAAATACTAATCGAGTGTTCTCGGTGTGATCTACTTTAACAGAGTAGGTACTAGCCATCTCGCATCCTCAAAGAATTTTCGTGGATTTTGTTTTACTCAATACCCAGTGCTGAATCACCAACTTTCATCCGCAGCCAAGGGGTACCTGAGCACCTACATTCAATATTGTTAACTGGAATGTTGGTGAGTGGTGGCACTGGTTACCAACTCAACACAAGAGCAAAGCGTGCTAACCCCGAAAATTTAGTGATTCGCCATGGAAGACAATCTACCCAAAAAGCATAACGCATCGCCTCGTGACTACACACTCTCCCTAGCACCTGCACGAACGGTTTTGAAGCGTAAGAGTCGGGAGGAAATTTCCTGCCATCGTGATCATGTTGCCAAGAAGGAAAGGATCGAAAAGACGCACACAACGGAAGAGCAGAATGCCAATATCTTAATTGAACCTGATTCAGACTGTGAGTCGAATTACAAAGATTTAGAAGCAAGGTCTCAGGCATTACTCAACGATGTGCGAAGTCGGAAACGAAGTACACAACCCAGGGTACGGAAGAAACCCAAAAAAACATGGTGTTGCCAATGCGAGGCTCTAGGAGAATTCATTCATTTGAGATGTCAATGCGGTCATGTCACTAGCGATTGCAGATTATGTGAACACTTTGATTACGAAGGCCCATGTACCTGCTGAAAATACTCCCTTTGAACTTTTTCCGACAGTCCAAAATCCCCCAAAGCATGTTGACCACCATGCACCACTAAGTCCTTTGGAGAGAAATATCTCTGTTCTTCACATTCCCATCTTTCACGTCCTTTGCTGAATGTTGTGCGGACTCTTGCCAGGCAGGAAGGAGGGAATTCCTGGTCCCAATACTTTACTTGCTCAAGCCTCACAATCTCTCTTGAAAAGCCCTGGTTTTGTGTCGCCTTTGCGGTGTCAGCTCTTAAGAATTGCGCGGTATGCAAATGTTTCTAACCTCAATGTTCCCACTTCGATTTAAGCCCTGGCGAACGGGCGCTGGAAGTCGAGGTCCCTCAGGTCGCAGAGGCGGCAAAACGTCGACCTGCCGCTTATTCGAGTTACCTTGGACTTGGTAAGAAATTATTCATATGAAGGTTAAAGATGAATTACCTGGATGATTGTCTGGTTCAGAACCTTTGGGAAGACACAACCAACTGACGTATCCATTCACGGAATTCCGAATAATAGGCCAGAAAGACATTCTGTAGGTTGCTTTTATCGCGAAGAGCTGTAGTATAAACGATCCTGCTAGGTCAAAAGAAGAGATTAAGCTTAATATTTATGTCATAAGTGAATACTACCTACTGATGGCAACATTGTGGACAGGGACGGGCGCTGTAGGGAGCAGAACATAGTAAGTCCACATCTGGAAAGAAAACCTTCTGTTGTGACTACTCTCATCTAATTATCTTCGTATCATAGTCTCAATTATAATTCCTTTAGTAGGGGATATGTTCGGTATGACTATCCTATTATTCGACCCGAGGCGCTCCATGAATATAAGCTGTTTCTCGGCCTCCGCGCCATACTCTATAGAATCATTTCTCTAAGACCAGAGTCCACAAGCAACTACTATGAACGGCAAACGTCAGAGCGCGTCCAGCAGAAACACCCGCACTGCACCCAGGAATGCAGACGGCCAAATTTACTGCAACTATAAGGGCTGTCAGTCCGCACCATCGACGTTCCGCCGTCTTAGCGACTGGAAGTGGGTAACTCTACGTCATTTCATCGACATCTGGCAAATTCCCGATGCTAACTTCAATCTTCCTTAGTAAACACATGGACAAACATGAACGTCCTTACAAGTGCGATGTTCCTGGCTGCAACAAGGTTCAAGGCTTCACGTACTACGGCGGTCTCCTACGCCATGAGCGTGAGGTCCACAAAAAGGACGCTAGCGCGAGAGCGCCGATTTTCTGCCCCTACGAAGACTGCAATCGCAGTTCTGGGAACGGGTTTACACGGCAGGAGAATCTCCGAGAACATCTACGCCGTCGTCATCTGCACACTGACGACGTGAGCGCCGGTTTCTCTATCCTAGTCAATCCCTTGGTTAGCTTGGACTTTCGAGCTAACCATTTGCCTGCTGCGGTTGTTGATACTTGCTATGATGCTTCCCTTAGCGAAACCCTGTCGCAGGCAAATGATAAAGGTAGTCTTCATAACGAATTCGAACAACTGTATCGGGAGGATAGGTTGAAAGGTCGTCGCATAGAGGAACTGGAGCGCAAGGTGGCTGTACTCCAGGCTACGATTGCTCGGTCAACCTAGCTTGACCCGAAGCCACAACATGTTTATAGTTCACCCTAGGAAACCTTGGTAACGAAGGCCTTAGCGTCGGTTAAGTTACATCAAAATAGGACAGCCATTTCAACCCCCTTCGGGTTCCGCTGATTATGGTTGATTTCGATTTTGGATAATGGAAACTCGAGAGACGCCTTAGAGTCGAGAAGCTGCAGCATCATCTCTATCACGAAATGGTCCGGTGAGAGGGATTTGAGTCAAATAGAGCAAACTGATAATGGAAGGTATAAGTACTCGTTCTCTATGGTAGTCTCTTCATTTCAGTTCTCACTCTTTGAAATCGCTTCTCAATGCATACAAGATGAGCCTCCACATGTTCCCACATAATCACCCCCTTCATGATGGTTATGTCTCCGTCGCATGTAGCCAGTCTCAGCAAGACCTTACTGAAACGGCAGTGCCTCTACCCTTCCCAAACGCCAGTTCTCCAGCCACATCTTACAAAGACTGGCTCAAGAATTTCACCTCCGAGATTTGTGGAGATCTGGCATATATCTGGATTGGGCTATTTGAGCCAAAGTTGAACTACTCAGGTGAAAAACCTGCATGGTGGCCGGAGGATGTAACTTGGACGAATCCTCGGCGCATGGTGAAAGAGGGTAAGATATTTGTTACTGACTGGATCCCGAAAGCTGACGAGACAAAGGCAAGATTATACTTCTTGACCATCTGCTACGTGGGAAGTTACTGGAAGAATCCACTAGAGTCACCTTAGAGCTAGAAGCACGTATTATTCAGCCAATTCAGGGTTCATCGGGGTACCAGAGGACCCTTGCTGAGATCCTCGATGCTTTTCAACATCAAAAAACATGCCGAAATGTGTCCTTGAATGAGTCTTTGGAGGGTCGTGAGCGAGGTAGGAGTTACTCCAGGAGAAAGGCTGTGAGAACTTGCTGGAGACATGCATGATCTTCAACCCGTGTTCTTCATATTAGCTGACTCTCCGTTTAGTTTTACCAGTGACATCAATCAAGCAAATCATTAATGTGGACCCGAGCTCCTCCGGGATTTTGGCGAACTCGAGTTGCGAATTTTATGTTGAATGGCAGTTATTTTCTCCAAGAGGAGAGCCGCTGTAAGTGTGTCAACATAACTGAAGCGAAACGATCTGACACAGACACAGACACCATGTGGCTATCACCCGTTGTGCACTCCACGATATATCTCTCGTTTCTTTGGAGGGACCGACACATACTTTATTACAGGAATTCTCAGTGGCCCAAGAAATTCAGGCCGATGCTCGGATGGGTATTCTTAAGCTTGTCGTCGCATATAAGTATGTTTTCTGAGGTTTCTATGCATCTCATAACTGACGAAGACTTCTGTGAAAGCCCGCTACCACTCAGCCAATCTGTGCCTACTCACTCTTATATGTAGGTTATCTTGTCGTTTCTCAGTTTTGAACTTGACTGAGCCCACAGGGCATTTTCAATCAGGATTGCAGCTTCGCTGAATGGCCATATAGAGATGGCGATCGCAAGAGGTTGGGAGGATATTCCTGGTGTCATTGCAGAAATCGAGACTCAGTATTTAGCAACCACGGCTTTGGTGTGAATGGACGTAGTGGCACTGCCGTTGTCGCGGTGGGGCTTGCTGCTCAGACAGTTGATTGGCCACGGCCGGGTATCTATCAACACGTTTTCCGTCCGATACAGAATTTAAATAAATTCCCATCTACAGGCTGCAGAAATGAAATTAAAACTAATACCCCGAAATGGGCGCAACAAACTCGCCTATAAATTCGAGTTGATTACAACAAACAGCCACTACCACGAGCTCTCAAACATGCAGTTAAATGGGCTAACAGCTACGGAAATCTCCCTGGTGGTATACTTCCTCGGAATCAAGGAACAGTTTCTTTATGCCCACAAATATTTGAATCCTCTCAGAGACCTAGACTCTTCCATGACATTTTTCGAAACCCTCATCCAGAAAGGCTGCCGAATCTTTATGTTTGGCCACGATATTCCGGACTTGATGGAGAGAATTCATTTTCCGGCGATCTACTGGAGTAGCTGGATTGCGGAAGCCTTGGACGGAATCATACCACCGCCCAAGATATGGGTCGTCATAATCCCCACAGATCGACTTCAAAGTGGGAGATCAGTAGATTCGGAGAGGGCTCAGTTATTCGATCCTTTAATTCAGCTTCCAGATGGCAAGGACATCTAGAGGTGGCTTCGGACGACAAGCGAGAATCTTCAAACTTATCAACCTCAACGGGAAACAGTACTCGAAATATATGTGATCGAAGACAAGGAAATCGCAGTTTGAAGGACTAGTACTGCGGCTGAAAAAAAAAAATATGTGCCTAGTTAATCTTGTCCGAATATATGCTAGATCAAATCACCAACTACCACCAATACACCGACCTTTGAACCCATTCCCCCTGTCGCGAACTAGTCAGTATTAACTTTGTCAATAAGAAAATCCCTGCAACAGCGTAGATGATACTGTATCAATTGCAAACATTTGTCAGTGTGGTCCTCACTCACAAATAACTGGTACTATATAAGGGCATGTTGAATCCTTCTCTTCTTTTCAACCCTACTTCAAAATCTTCTTATCTTTAATTAATTGGATTTTCCCCATTCCTACCTATATTCGCGACATGTTTACTCCCAATGAAACACGAGGCAGAGGCGAGCCATCTCCAGAAAGTAAAAACTTTACATCAGGACCACGAGAGCTACCGGGGTTGAAAATTCCCGACAAAATCAATGATGATATTCTTCGTGCTATGATCATGGCTTCTGAAGGGGTGACGATTCAGTCTGAAACCAGGCTTCGGGATGCGAAATGTCTCGTCGAGAACATCGTGGGGACAATAGAGGGAATGAAAAAGCAGAAAGATGGGCCGGAGCAAGACGACGACACTTGGATCCTCAGAGCGTACAATGAGATAGCGGCCATCTATGGTCTACTTGGGATGACGCAGCAAGAAAAGGAAATGTCCGAGAATCTTTTGCTCAAGATGGAGGAAAGGCGAGGACCCGATGACTTAGAGACTATGTTCATTGTCCAGCGAGAGGCCCTTCGGTACTGGGAATGGGGCAATCTCAAGGATGCAGTCTTGCTTTTTGAACGTGCTCAAGAGGGTCAATCAAAAATGTTTGGAGAGGACAGCATCCATGTCATCAAAAATACCCTGTGTCTTGCCGCCACTTCTATGGCACTTTCATTGAAATATGCCGGTGAAGGAAGGGATGATTTGAGGATTGAAAAACTTCTGCAGAGCACCAAAGCCTCAAAACGGGTGGAAGCTTGGGAGAAAAAGCAGCTAAGTGGTGATCTTTTTCAAGTGCCAGATGCCTTCTTCTTGTTCCAAGCCACTCGACAGATGGTACAGGGCATGCTTCGAAAGACATTCGAAAGCGGACTTATTCACCGAAGTGTCATTCCCAAAGAATATTTCAATTAGCCTCTGTCTTTCATAAGAGAGGGAAAAGTCCCAATTCAAAAGGGAAAAATCCTCCATGAATTCATAACTATAGTTCAAGCTTAGAATTCTCTTCCCCTCGATCACGTAAGCCGAGTATTAGGATAACCATTATCTCTGTTTTGAAACTAGGTACATCAGAAGAGAAATTTGGAACCACTGTGCTATTCCTGAGATATAATTGACGTTTAGTCACGTGATAGTCACACCGGCCAAGTCGCGCGCAGTGGACGAACCTGATGTTATGCTTTTGTGCTTTTGTTAGCTTCGCATCACTTATGCATCATCGATATTGCTAATTAACACCTGTGGGTTTTGAATTTATCGCATGAACTGCTCTTTAAAGTCATTATCCCCAGTCGTCCTCAATCGTCCTCAATCGTCCTCAATCGTCCTCAATCGTCCTTAATCGTCCTTAATCGTCCCCATTCATCCCCAGTCGTCCTCATTCGTAACTGACACATGGCCAACACGCCAAATATACACCCTGCATGCGACTGTGTTGCGCATCAGACGGACTACCAGGATTGGCCCAGAGAAAATGCAGAGATCAGAATTGCTTCTTGTATGCGAATATGTCCTTATTGTGCGAAGAGGCATTCAAACGCTAGTCGGCTCCGAAAGCATCTGCGTCAGCGCAAATACCGTGAGCGGAATATTTTCATCGCATCAGAGCGTCCTGGAGCTGTCGGCGTCGGGTACGTTGCCCTACCTCAGCGAGGAGCTCTCGCAACATCCAGAAACTCGGGCTGTTTCGGCAATGATTTGAAATATTACGGCCCGATCTTGTCGACAGAGACCGTCCAAGCCGAACCCCAGGAAGACCCGAGTTCCATCTTGCGTGAGATTCAAGGCAACTTCGGCCCTGAGTTTGGGGTACTCATGAAATGCCATCTTTCTTACTGGAACCGCATGTCAGATCAAAATCAAGATCTCTGGTTGAAATCTACATCATCGGTCCCTCGCCTCCTTGACGGCTCCCATTGCTGGCGTGGTCGAGCTCCCCTCGCTCGCGAGCTCTTTATGGACACTATAAAGGAAATATCAACCGAAAATTCGATGACTCAGAAGAGCCCTGAGTCTCGATTTCGGGCTAATTTCCAGGGTGAAGTAGACGAGGCATTTGACCCTTATCTTGTTCTCTCACAGCTTATAGACCCTGACCCAAATAAACCTGCATTTCTCACTGGTTTGCGGCTACCGTCAGTAGACCATTTCGGGTTTCGTTCACCGTGTGATATCTCTACTGTTATAGAGCCGTTCTATGAGACGAACAATCAGGTGAATTTGACCCCAAAATACTCTTTTGTGGACTTGCATACCGGTAGGTCAATATCTCCAATAGCCGTAATGATAACCCTTCTGTTAATTCTTGAGGAGACTATGGTGCGGACGGATTATCAACAGTGATCGGTGATTGCCGGAAAATATGGCTACTTTATCCACCCACGGATAACAATCTGACTGCCATGAAGTCCATTGACGGCCAGCGTGGAAAGTTACTTCGCTTGGCGCATCAATTAGAAGGCGGTGTTCTTGTGGAGACAACATCATCGAATGCGATATTCCTCCCGGCTGGCTGTGTTCATGCCACGTTCACTCTTCAGGGTGGCTACCTGGTGACCAAGGATTTCACGACTGAAAAGTCCCTGAATGCGATTTCAAGCTTTATCGTCTATGGACTTGATGAAAATTTACCGACAGAAGCTCGGGAGATTTGCTTCGATTGGTTCGAACGCTGTTTAGATGTCACTTTATCCCAGCAGCATGTTATAACAGCAGTCTCCGCATGGTTAAAGGCAGGAAAAAAACTGGCAAGTTGGGCATCGACTCATCGAAGGTGGCGAATCAACGTGAGGCGTTTGTGGGAGCATCACTGTCAGGACTCGTTGGTCAGCTGCCCATGCGAGCTTCAAGAGCCGACTCCATTTTTCCAACATTTCTGTTCTGTTCATATAGCTTCATTGCTTTCATCATCTCAACTACGACGTCTTCACTGACATGAAACATCGAGTAAGTCGGCAAATATTAACGCAAAACGTTCAAAACATGTACTTTATTTCTTCGTCTATGAAATGATATTATTTATCAAGCTAAGAGAGTCCTTTCATGACGCCGTCTTCTCGGGTTCAAGGTGAAGAATTCTCTTCATCCACTGAAACCGTTTGTTCCCTATGCTCCAAATACGACGCGACGTGGGGGTCGTGCTGTAGATTGCACTGTAGCATATATTGAACGGTACCTCCGGTAGTACTCGCTCAACAGCAGTGTCCCAGATTGTTATAGTTCGGTTAGTGCTCAGCATGTAGTTGTAGCGAACTCCGGATGGCCACATTTGATTCAGATTCGCAAGAGCCGACGAAGGGACAGCACCGTCAACCTTAAGCTCATCAAGGATGTCCTCTCTTGTATATAGCCAACAGTAAACCACAACAAACCGGCCATCGTCAAGCCTTCGAAGATCAGATACCTTGGCGGGGGCGGTGCTGTGTCCGGTATCTACATTGACAATATCTCCACGGCGGAGAGTCCACGAACCAAGAGGGGCTACGTCGACCCTCCGGAGACACTTCCATGGCTTGGCGCCATTGATTGGGAGCGGTTGGAGGTTCTCGACTCCCTCTCGCGACACGACGTAGAGCTCTTGGGCTGGCGCTGCCAACCAAGGTCGGCAAACAACAATCCCTAACCGTGTGTAGCACAAAGTCTCCAGCAGCACCCATTCGCAGCAAACCCGAGCTAGATTCAATGCTGCTGTAGCTTGAATGGTCTTGGATGTAAGTAACGATGAAAAGAGACTGAGCTTCTTACAGACGATAGAAAAAAATCTCGAGACTGGATCGGAATTACAAGATGGCGGGAATTCCTCATCTGCTTCATACGCGGTGGGCGGATTATCAAATATGCAGGCAAACGCCTTGCCCAAGGGAGTGTCCATGTCACCAGTTTCAACAAGCTTTGAGTGCATGTCCTCGAGGCAATCTTCGAGAATTTTCTTCACACCATCGACATCGGGATATTGCTGTGCCGGCTCCGGAATTCTCAAGTTGAAAGAGGTCTTATTGAGGTTGTCAGTGGCATGTGATGGAGTGAAAATTTGAGAATCGAAGGTATCGGTATGTGGTGCAGAATCATCACTAGTGCCCTCATTGTCTTCGTTCTTGTCTATGTCCATCGCTTCGGGATCGTGACCATCAAAATGTATCCACGGAGTAAAGTCAACATCGTAGGGGAAGTTGGGCCCGGGGGAGATAAAGGGAGAGGTCCTTATAGCAAAGGTCAGTAAAAGGTCGGTAAAATTTCAATTTGAAGTTTTGACATTGTGGCCGGTGCTCTGTGGCGATCTATTTATAGTAATGCAAAAGGAGGACTGTTGATTACCGTCGGGGCGTTGCTCAGCAAAATCTTTGGGATACACATCAGTCGAGTAGGCACTTGTTGAGACAAGAGGATCTAGCTGTGTTATCAAACCTGATGTGTCAACGGTGCAGGAAAGGACATCAGGCGCAGTTTCTATGATCTTATCCCTCGCTCGATCATCAAGGCTTGCAAACGCAGCAAGGTGTATCGCAAAGGATTGCGCAAACTAGGGATTTGTCAGTCTCCGATACGACATGACCTGGTGATCTTGGCATACACTAGGAGAGGCTGTCCATCGGCGATATATGTGGGCTCGATCAGGAAATAGCTACGGGAGATAGAAACGTGAGTATTGATTCTCTGGATCTTGAACCCCACTCACCAGGATATTAGCATGCAGGAGAGTTGAAGACGCAGACATGGTGGTTGGGAGATGAGGAACGAGGAAAGAATCGAGAGGAGTGGTTAGGAACCCCAAGTACAATTCTGCCGTCTCCTTCCGGTTTCGTCCCACACCAACCTCAAAACATGAGTTTCGCTGGAAAACGTGAGGGCACAGTTAGCGTAGTTCTTCTACAAATGAAGTTTTAATACCACAGAATTTTTGATACTAGTGGATTTTTAGTACTACTTGAGGTTTTAATACTACTGAGGTTTTAAAACCACTGTAGTAATAAAACTATCCAATCGTCGATGAGGATTAGCCGATGAACAGATCTTAGCTCCTGACATACGGATCATTATATCAAGACTTGGCACTCGTTCCCAGCAGTGAAACCAGCACAAGATAGTGACTGGGATTTGAAGAATCTGATTATGGTAGGGGATTCGACAGTCTTGACTTGGCTTATGCCTCTCAGCACAAATCTATATTATCCGGAGTTACAGCTGTAGACGGGTCTCGCAAGTCTTTGTACCTGAGGCCTCCACAGATTTAGGAAGAGCGTTTCCTGGCCTATATGGTTCCCAGGCCGGAAGAGACACATATCCAGTACCTTAAGGCCTATCATGTAAAAGAGCTGTGGAACTATGTCCAGGCGGGCTTCGAGTCTAGAGATGTGGGTCTGCGGTTGGGAAGCTGGGGTGGGAAGGCTTTGGCTTTAGGCCCCGTGATCTAGAGACGTTTATTTGAGGCTAGGTTCCTCAGGCCGCGGCCGTGGATCCACTTTGGACGTACGTCCACAGCCCCAAGTCCACCACGACTTTCAATCTGTCAACTGGCCGCGTATAACTCATCTGACCCAAGTGTATCAAGGCCGTTGTTCGGTGAATTTTTGAGGCGCGTCCAGCAAAGTTGAAACCATTTTTGCGACATTGTAGACATCTGAAAGATAGTGATCGGGTACTTCATGGAGAAAGGATTGAGAAGATCTTTGGGTTCCATTAACATGTCTCGAGTTACTATGTGTCTTAGGTAAAGAAACTTGCAACCAACCAGGTCTTACAATCCGTCCGGCCGCCAGTTAGCGATCTGGTGGCCTGTTGGGTCCTGGGACCGCTTTCTCAGGACCTTTTAGATCACTAGTCTTAGGTTCTGAGGCGGCCGATTATCATCATCGCGGTCGGCTGTTGAAGCAAATGCCTACGGGGATACAGGTAGACTGTAGAAATTGCAAAATATGATGCGTTTTCAAAAATTCGTTCTGAGCTGGGTGGTGTTCCTGCTGGAGTCCCCGGTCTGGTCAGCGGAGTCCCTCCAGCCAGACAGGGGACTCTGGCCAGACAGGGGACTCCGGCCAGAGAAGGGACTCCGGCCAGACAGGGGACTCCGGCCAGACAGGGGACTCCGGCCAGACAGGGGACTCCGGCCAGAGAAGGGACTCCGGCCAGACAGGAGACTCCGGCCAGACAGGAGACTCCGGCCAGACAGGGGACACTGGCCAGAGAAGGGACTCCGGCCAGACAGGGGACTCCGGCCAGACAGGAGACTCCGGCCAGACAGGGGACTCTGGCCAGAGAAGGGATGAAAATGATTTCCTGGAGAGTCTTATGAGCGGTTCCATACCAGGAAACTCGTCTTGAGGCGGGAATTGCCTCGGGAAGGCTTACCTAAGACAAGGCATCTAAGAATAAGCTTATGAAACGAATCTCCTCTGATTGTATTCTTGAGAATCCTACGCTCTCGAAGTCTTAGTCACATGATGGTCCTCCCTAGAAGGTATCATTCTTAAGAATCCCCTCCCCTACCAGATCTCGTACCAAGAGAACCTTCTTGTGCCCAAAATGTTCTTGAAACATCAAACATCCCAAGATCGGTGTCTTAGATCGTATCCACTATCAAGAATCCTATCTCATATTCGAGTGAGTCCTAAGACATTCTTCAGTGATGACATCAGCATAGGATGACCGTTGTAGCAGGTCTGCGACTTGAAGAACAGTCTCCCATATCTCTTACAGACACTCTACAGACGCTCTACAGACACAATCCTCATAGAAGGCTATTTCCGGGCATACAGCATTTCCTCATCGTACATAACGTTTACATATATAGAAGTTTTTGAAGGGCTAGCCAGAGATGTTCTGCCACTCGACACTACTGGCGCAAGAAAGGCTAGTGGGTACTGTAAAAATAATCACCGCCATCCCGTCAGCCTTTGTGCGAATTCTCAAACAAGGGGGACGCGGCGCTCTAGCATCGTAAACATCTGATTGAGAGCGATCGCGTTTCATCATGACAGTTCTCGAATACCAATGCTCCATGATTCATGAGCTATACCGGAAAGAGAACTAAAAGGGTGTCGCAGAACCAAAAGGGTGTCGCAGGACCAAAAGGGTGTCGCAGGACCAAAAGGGTGTCGCAGTGGCTCAAATGAGCCGCTTTAGTAATCACAGGCATCCACTTTCATAGTATAGGTATGCGCTTTGGATTCAGGGGTCCGTTTTAGAAGTCGCAGGACCAAGAAAAGTCTCGCAGACGATTCAACCTATAATCAGCTAGCTAGGGTTGAGGATAACTAACAGTCAATGCTGATTGGTTAGCTTGTTTCACCTGAGCCAACAACATTAAGAGCTGCCTAAGCGTTCGCAGCTCCAATTACTATGCCCCTCAAGGCGCCTCTGGCTCACGTTCTGCTATTGTAGAGCGAACAGCTAGATTCGCATACTATGCCACTCAGTCAAGAAGGCAAGATCGTGGTTCGTTGGCCCTGAGAGATTATGGTGCCACATGGTGGCCTTTGGGGAACCAAAAGGCATATTTTCGCAATTTCGCATTTTGACATTTTCTCCTTTTCGATTTCTCAACCTCAGTGCTTAATATAATAAGTAGCATCGAACCTGTTGCTCCATCTTTTACAGTAACTTATTCGAACCCTTTATCTCACAATCATTATGGCCAAGACCCCTCGCGAGCGATCGAAGGCTTCTACTACGGAGAAGAAATCAATTCGACAGAAAAGAGACCGGCGGAAGATGACCCTTGAAAATAAGTCGCAAGAGTATAGCGAAATGTGCGGGGCGGATGTCTGCTTAGGCATACGGATTCGAGAGTCAGGACAAGTATTTATTTTCTCCGCAGACTCATCGGGGTTTTGGTCATTCCTCAGCTCTCAATTAGTATGTCCTCTCGAAACTCTCCGTGGCTTCAAGAGTCCTGACTCCTCTAGGGCTCCCACTATCCAAAACCGGTTAAAAGAAGTAAAAAGGACCTCCGAGTGGCGAAAGTATAGAGCGATAGACTCCATGGCTTCTGAAATCACTTTGTGGAACATAACCGCGAGAAACTTGATAAGAGGCCGAATCGGTCAGCGGAAGCATTTGCCGTGCTTAAAGCGAAAAACAGATTTTTCCGTGTTCTATAGCAAAACATAAATTCTTGAGAGAATGTCGCCTTCGGGCCCCTAAATCGCAGGAATGAACTCCCGCCAGGAGTATATGACCGTAGGGCCACTATTCCTCAGGGTTAAGGATCCTAAGGGGCAAACATCCTCGAGGGCATTAAACCACAGGAAGAATCTTCCTCAAGCACAACCTACCTTAGGGTAACTTGATCCTCAAGGGTAAGAGCAAATTCCCCCAGGGGATTTCTACAGTACCACAAGGGTGGACTCCCACATGGACGCACGACCCTGGGCTAGGGCCGTCCCTGTGGGTGGTGTGTCCCCGAGGAATAGCTATTCCATAGTCATACGCTCCACAAGTACGGATTCGGGTCTCGCATCCTTGGGCCAGGAATCTCAGTCGCAGCTATATGGGCTGGCGGGCGGCTGGCTGTAGCCAGGGCCTTATAGGTGGCGGTCTATGTAGCCAGGACTATGTAGGCTGGCTGGCTTAGAGGGAGAAATTTGGCCAGGTTAGAGAAATTTAACCAGGAGAATATTAGGAGGGTGGGGAAATTCAGGGAGTTGGAAAATTCGAGAACGAAGAAGATCTTTTTGCAATCAAATTACGGGCAAAAAAGTGTTCTTTTAGTTCGTGTTTGTTGACCGAATAAAAAAAACGTAAGCCTGAGTGATTAAGAACCGTTTGAAACGGTGAAGTTCAAGGTCAAGTTGGTGGTGGAACCGCGAGGTACCTTGGAATAAACAAGTCTTAAAACGCAGGGGCGGAAGGAAAGAGTGGTGGAGGGCGCAAAGAGCGACAAAAAGCAGTTCCACTTTGGAAGCGATGAAAGAACATTGGCTAGCGGGTAAGAACGTAGACCAATCCGCGTCTATATGTGTGCCAAGCCTACCATATCTCCGAGTTAAAACCGAACGACTAGAGTTTTCCCAGGGAGCTAAAATTTTAGTCTTAAAATATTCCCCAGTAGCTAATCTTCCCCGTTCTCGAATTTTCCAACCTAGCTAATATTTCCACTCCCTGAATTTCTCCACTCTCCTGATATTCTCTTTGTCGAATTTTCTAACCTGGCTAAATTTTCTCTCCAAATATTTCCCTCTGACCTGAATTTCCCCATTCGAACCGTGATGGACGAACGGATTCACTCCGAGAAGAAAACATAGACCGCCAGCCCATACAGCTGTGACTGAGATTCCTGGCCCAAGGATGCGAGACCCGAATCCGTACTTGTAAACGCCCGAGATGGAATCACACATGGGCCAATTTTGGTGCACGACACGTTCTGGCCGGGTCTAGAACTTGGCCTCAGTGTTGCTATTCCGGGAACAAATTGAAACATATGATTGGTCTTCTGTCACACCCCTCTCCACACTTGGATGTGGTCTCGAAAGTTCCATAAGGTTACCTTTATCTCCAAGGCCGATGTTCAGTGCGTGTACGATTCTCGCGTTAGGTACTGTATAAGTAGAGGTAGCAGACATGTTCTAACAGGGGTCGTCCATATTAACACAGCTATTGTGTCCTTAGAGACGGACCGCCAGGAAGCAAAGAAAATCGCTCCGCTCTAGCTCTCACCTGTCCCTCCAGTTACAATAGCACTGTTGGCAACATCAAGAGAGACAGTACGGAGTACTTCGTTATCGCCTCAGCAGTTGAAGAAACCCTTATATTTACAGTATTTTCTGGAGGAAGCATTGTCCAACTGAAAGGAACTGAAAGAGTTCATTCGATGAAAGTAACTGGGGAGCTGAGATATGGGATCCTAGACCACCAAGGTTGAAATTACGCCGTCTTTGTCTGGAATGGGAAAACCCCTTGCCCTAAGAGTTCTGGTCCTCGACCTCCTCTTTTCGGGGAGAGAATCTCCCAATCTTCGTACAAATAAAGGTTCTCTAACAAATGTGGGGTTAGGTGGAGCTTAGTGGCGTGCTTCTCGAGGGCAGGAATTTCTTCAGCAACTGCATCCTCGGGGTCCGCTTCGATTGGAATCTCCTCGGGCTCCGGATATTCCTCAGCAGGAGCGGCAGCATCTTCGGGATAACCTTCGACTGGAACCTCCTCGGGCTCCGGATATTCCTCAGCAGGAGTGACAGCATCTTCGGGATAAGCCTCGACTGGAACCTCATTGGGCACAGGTTGGTGTCCAGCAGGCAAATCTTCTGTCTGTGATTCTTTATTCCTTTCCACCGTCACCAACAGTTCTTTCGCCGAACTATTCTGCCTGTGGCGGTTGTTCTGGTCCTCGATAGTTTCCCGAAAACATAAGCGGCTGGATAGTATTTCAAGCATCATCTTCGTCACGACATTGTCAAAGGAGTGATCTTGACCCAGAACTTTATAGAGTGAATCGAAATTTGATGTTGATTCTCGGGGGGCCAACCATTGCTCGAGACTTGATCTAATATGGTTCGAAAACCAAGTTTCATCTTCAGGGAGCTTTGAAAAGACCTCCCTTGTTATTTGAAGAATCTCAGGCGTAGCCATTGCTTCGCTGAAAAGTTCCATGTACCGTTTGGCAAGGGCTTCGAGAGCCGGAAGCTTGTACGCCCTGGATGCCTGATAGGCAAGGACGGCTCTTCGATATTCTCTAGTAATTCCAGGCTCGCCTTCCTCGAGTGGGGAATTTATCGTCTCGTAGCTTCCTGAGTACAAGAAGTGCACCAAGGTATGACCGGCATCCTCATGAATATCGGTAAGGTCGATGGTTGTGGTCCCAAAAAGTTGGTCGTCAAAATGCGGGTGTTGCCGAAGAAAATAACTGGGGAGACCGTACTTCTGACTCCCGATGCTGACTGTGACAATTGGAAGTTCATAAGGTCCACTACAGGTCAGAATATGTCCGGTACAGGTGGGTTGGAATTCTCACGATGACAATGGCTGATCGTAAGGTATCTTTGGAGATACCTGAGCAGGCGTTGGATGCTTGTCCTTCGCTTGAGTCTGATGCTGGTTGAGATTCTTCTTTCCCATTGTTAGTGCTGGATGATGCTGACTACAGGAAAAATGATAGAATGGTAAAATATGCACTTCGGCGTCTATTTATAAAAGATATCTAGGGTGCAGAACAGAAGGAATGCAAGTATGAGTTGTTCTTTACAGTATGCGCCGTAGACAAGGAAGCATTATTCGAGAGACACGTCAGATGTTGACTTGGAATCTAGACTAAGGTCGACGGGTTTGGGCCAAGGTGACTGGAGAATACGCTTTATAGCAGCCAATGAAGAGCCACGGAATTCCACCAAGGGCATCTTTTCGTCCCCAAAAGTCCCGAATGAGAGATGACCGTGAGTCCGGGAAGCTAAGCTGATGAGATGTCGCATGTTTACCATCTTATCCTGCTCTTAGAAGAATTAAGAGGTCAATTAATACTGTACTGTAACCACCATCAGCAATGGTCGTGGACTAAAATCGGAGGTACCAAGATTATCATGTATGCCTTGTTATTCGGGCAGTAAGAATACTACAATATTTCCTCTTCTCCCCGCGATTGGCAAGCTCCTTCCATACAGATGAGTAGTGTTTATAGATGAGTAGTGTTTATAGATGAGTAGTGTTTATTGATGAGTAGTGTTTATAGATGAGTAGCGTTTATTGATGAGTAGTGTTTATTGATGAGTAGTGTTTATTGATGAGTAGTGTTTATTGATGAGTAGTGTTTATTGATGATTGAGTGGTGTTTAGTTCCTTGAGCTGAGCATAGTAGGGAGACTCTGTTGTTGCGGTAGTCATGCCGATACAGTAGACACACAAACTTCCTGTGGGTTCACAGAGTTTGTTTTGTGAGGGCGAGGGAGGTAGGTAAGTGACCGTTGTCTACAGCTACCTTTGATTCTCAATTGAAAGCATTCTTTACTACAGTACTTTGATCACATTCAATGAACTGGATCTTGAGGATAAAGGACCGCGCAATGTGTGAAAAGGGTGAGAGGAAAAACGATGGTTTTGAAAGAGTGCCTTACATTTAAAATATGAGGCCTCAGAAGGTGGTGAGAATGTGCAAGTTTCAAGTTGATTGAAGTGGATTGGCTAAACAAAAAAACACAGTCTCCACCTGGACCAGAGGTCCGTGCATTTCCTAATAGTTTCAAATCCCCCAGGTCTCTGGCGTGAAATTATTTCAGCCTGCTTGCAAGGGAAACAGTGTGGTTACCTCCGCTCCATTCCGAGCCCTCGGGCGAGACCGGAGTCTGATAAGTAGTTTGCCTTTGGAATTGGAGCCACAATAGTGGCTGCACAGGCTCTCCTAAATGGATGAGGTATGTAGCAATCTAAATACAACGTCTATTGCCATCTCACAGTGTGGGTCAAAGCCCAGATTACAGTCTGGCCTTCCAACTGATGTGTGCTCCCTAACCACACTAACAGCATTCTGCTGTAGATCCTCACACCGTAGCCAGTTTAACAATTGTGGGCCATGGCTTGCAATAAACTCGAGGATAAGGCTAAGGCTGAAGCGGACCGTTCCGTCCCAAGTTGATTACATAAACATACTTCCAGTCTAGGCTTAGTGGTACTCTGGACACTGCTAAGAGTGCTCAGTAACAGCGTGCAGGGTCAACTCGGCAGTAGAGCTTGAGTGATATTACCAAAAACGAATACCGTGGGTTTTCAACCAATGGGGTCTTACATTGGTAATAAAACCAGAGATAATCCAATTTTGGCCAGTCATCTAGGTTCAGAATCTCCTGACGAGAAAGGCAAAGGTGTTCGAATGGTCTTCCATAAGGCATAAGCCTTCCTCTCTTCCTTGGGGCGTTCCTGTAGGTGAACACAACCCACGGAGTTTGTCTCCACGAGACTGTGGATTCAAAAAACCCCTGAAACCCAAAAGGAACTTGTAAATTGTATGGATTTGGCTCCGTACATTCCGATAGATTTCAAGTGATCGACGAGACTTTAGGTATTCGTACGCGGACCAAAGTTATAACGTCAAGATAAGAGCTAAAAGAATGTTCAAAGTAGTCTCTGGGGTCTCCACGTGTGATCTTGGGTTGATAGCCCTCGAACGGCATGTTGTGTGGGCAGAAAGGACTGATGAGAAAGTGCAGAGGGGGAGAGGGGGAGTTATAAGACTCTAGAGGTTTAAAAACCAGATGTGGGGGTATTTAGACCAGGGTGGTTTAAAAACCACAGTCGTAAAACCCTGGTGGTCTAAAGACCACAGGTCCCCCCGGATATGCCTTCCTCACCGCAAACAATGTACATCTATAAATAACCTCACTTATGTATACCCAAAAATAGAGACTGAAGCCAATGGCCAATCTAGACAGTGGGCCAGACAGATTCCTACCCGAGGCATTCATAGTTGATTTTCCCCTTGTCAGTGATATTTCCTTTCAGTCGAACAACGCTTCCACTTGAAAATAAATACTAAGGGTTTCTTCAAACTGCTGAAGAGAATTCGGTACCACTCTTGATGTTGCTCAGGGTGCCGCTAAGCCTGATTAGGTTATTGTATGTCAGGCTATCGTGACTAGAGGGACGTGACTGGATGGGCAGGTGAAAGCGGAGCAGTTTTCTTTTGCTTCCTGGCGCTCCATCTCGAAAGCCCACAATAGCTGTGTTAATATTGCAGGCTCTTTTTGGAACATTTCTGCTACCTCTAATTGTACCTAGGGCAAGAAGCCTTGCCCCTCGCACTGAACGTTGACCTTGAAGACGAGGGATGTGTTCTTGGGCTGGCCGCTGTGTAAGGTAGCCTTCTGGAACCTTCGAATGAAGTTGGCGAATACAAGAACATTGAGGCCACATTCTAGACCCGGCCAGAACGCGGAACTTGTGGTGTCTCCACCTGCTCAAGGACTACCCGTAGGGATGATCTGTTTTGGAGTAGTCCGGTCTGGCCCGAAGTTTCGGAATGAAGCGGAGGTCTCTCTCAGTTTGCAAACAGGCTAAAATAATTTCTCGCCAGAGACCTGGGGCGTGCGAGACTATTAGGAAATGCACGGACCTTCAGTCCAGGGGAAAGGTGTTTTTGTTTGGCCACTCCAATTCAATCAATCCTACTTTTCCACAGAGAGAACGCTGTTGAAAAATTGTCCATCCCTTCTCACCACTTCCTGCGGCCTCTTACAGTAATTGAGACACTTGAGTTTGGACTTTGACCATCACCGTTTTTCCTCTCACCCTTGTTGAACTCACAATTAGGCAGTCCTTTTACCCTCCAGATCCAGTTCATTTAATCTGATCAAAGTCACAAGAATGCTAACAATTGAGAATCAACGGTAGCCATGACTGCATTTCCTCACCTGCCTCCTTGGCCCTGCCTCCTTGGCTCTCATATACCAAATGGGGTGGTGTTGAAGCGACGTCTAGATACGCCTTGTAAGAAAAATATGCTAAGATGCGTGTAACGCGATGAGTTCTGGGAAAGACTTCCTATCCTAGTAGCTAGTTAATTGGTTAATTGTTGTTATTCATCATCTCATATTGTAAACTGGTTAGTGAGTTGGTTAATGTGACAATTGATCACCTTCAAATGGCCACGTTTGATGAAATGATGATAAACGTAAACACTCCTGGGCGTAGTGGCGTTACATAGTAAACATTCATTCTGTTCCCTTTGCCTACATGGACGCTTTCGCTATGTAGTCTCTGCGACACTTTTTGGTGTCCCGCTGCCCCTGCCATTTGGGAACGGTAATCCACCTCCCGACGTAGCCAATCCGGGCCATTTGCTACCGACGCTCTTTGGGTCTCGTTGCTTACACCATTTTGGCACAGCAGTCTACTGTAGCCTCATTTGAATGCTTCTCTGTCCTCAGCTCAAGTTGAAGTGGTCAAAATTCGGTACCGTCTCTCGAATCAACCGTTGTAGGACTTTCTTGCAACTCATTTTGTGCTGGAAAGAGGCGATTTGAACATACCAGTTTCCTGCTTGTTGACTATTACCTTGTACACCAATTTACCGTGGGCAATAACGAAACCCCTTGGAATATTGATTCAACCCTTTCACCGGTTTATTTACAAAGATTTTATTACCCAACCCATTTATGAAAACGAGCCGGGGTCCCATATGGTGACCGCAGTTTAATGATGGCGGTTAACGTGCCATTTTTGTCTTCATAACGTGAAAACAACACAAGACCAGAGTTTCTTTTTGTGAAATACCATATCTTTCTTCCCGTGTCGAAGATTCAAATATTCAGCTTTTCGCAGCCGGATTTAGGGCCGGTATTCATTACGCTTCTCCTTTTAGCCAGCCTTAAAGGCACCACTCTCAGCCCCCTGTCTGACAAGTGCTGTTCCATTTAAGAAACTCTAAGACATCAACTTCAAATGGCTGCTTTGGAAAGAGGTCGATCGGAGAATCTCTCTAAAAGAAAATTAATTCGTCAAAAACAGTACCGTCGCAAGACAAACATGATGAAGAAGGCTTCTGAATATAGCAAGATGTGTGATGCGGATGTGTGCGTAGGTATTCGCATGCGGGAGACTGGTCAGATATATATTTTGTCAGCGGATACTTCGGGCTTTTGGACCTTTCTTACCTCGCAATTGGTATGTGCAGACATGACATCATCCAGCAGGCAGCACGCTGACTAGTCAGAGCTCTCATTACCCGGCTCCGACCGTAATGACAGATCGTGATTTGCAGAAAACCGGAGAAGAGACTGTCTCCAGAGACTCATGATAGGCATTCATTCCACAGCACAGATGCTATGCAGGCACTCCTACTTGGGGTCAATCGATTGGATTGATGTAGAAAGGGCCATTGCGATTCAATATTATCTGTTGAATGCTACCGAATATGAAATATATTTCACACAAGTTCACTATTTCACCTGAAGCTGCATAAGTAGACTACAAAGAAGCTAGCAGCTTGGCTTGACAAGAATACAGGGATCACGGAAAAGTTCTAACACCCCTCGAGACCCACCCACCCGTAGCAAGCTCTACCGCCTATCAAACTGGTCACTAAGTCATGGTATACGGCGCCTGAATTAGACGAAGAACCTGCCGAACCCAGT